GAAAAGCGCTCGGCACAGCGCCTGGCACACAGTAGGGGTTCAGTAATGTCGGCTGTCCTCATTATACTTGTATTACCTTCCTAATAGGTGGGGAGGGTCTTCGGACTCATTGAAGTTAAAGGACTTTAAAGATTAAGAATCTCCAGGCAAATGCCAGCTGCAAGAGGCAGCCTGGTGTGTCCGGAAGGCTCAAGGCCAAGGGTCCCGGGTTCCGTTTCTGACGGGCTGTGTGACCTTGGCCGAGTCACCTGACCTCTCAGAGCTTTCGGTTTCCTTCTGTGGAAAATGGGAGCAGCAAACAGGCATCCCTCAGGGTGGCCACGAGGACGAACGGAGATCTTGTGTGTGTGTGGAGGGCTGTTCCCGTCCCCGCCTCCCCTCTTTCCTTCCCCAGGAAGCCCTGGTGTTCATTTACCGCCCACCCCACCCCCAGCAACCCCGTCCCAGACCCCCATCCATCATCCTGTCCTTGGCGGAGGTTAAGTGGGTCCCCAAGCAGCGAATCCAAACCCTCCCGGAGCCCCGGCCTCACAATGCGGCCCGCTGTTAGCCAGCCGCCCGGCCGGCCCCGAGGATTGGGTTTCAGCCGGGCGGCTGGCGCTGGCGGATGCCCAGGCCAGCGGCGGGCAGGCGGGGGACCAAGTGGAGGAGCCGGCCTGAGAAAACAAGAGCAGGCTCCAGGCAGGCAACCGAGGCAGCAAAGGGCCTCCGAGCGGCGGGAGGACAAGGAGGGGTATGTGTGCGAGGACCTGCGGGCAGAAGGATTTCACATTAGCCGGGTCCCCTTTCCCGGAGCCCGAGGACGGAGCAGGGGGCCGGGCCGGAGAAACAACGCGCTGCCTGTTGGCCGGTTTCGCCTTCGGAGATCCGCACGCAGCCTTCCCAGAGCCGCCCCGGGCTCCTCTGGCAGCGCCGCGCCCCACTGGCGTGGGCCGGGGACCCCGAAAGCCCCCCCGTCAGGCACCGAGCCTCCCCTCTTTCAGACGGAGGCCTCCCTGAACCCAGTCAGACTGAGCGGGGTCCAAAGAGCAGCTCTGCTTCTTTGTGGCTGTGTGACTCTGGGCCGCCCGTTAGCCTTTTCTGGCCTCAGTTTCCGCATCTGTGCAATGGGGAGAGCAGGGCCAGCCTTGCAGAGGGCATAGAGTGATTCTCGCCCAGGGCCTGGCACCGAGAGCGTGGTACATAAACTCTGTGATGTGTCCCCTCTTGTTATTCTTCACCTGAGGATGTTTTTCCCCATTTAATTTAATTCTTATTTTATTTTTATTTTTTAGAGAGAGAGAGTAGAAGGGAGGGAGGAAGAAGGGGAGATAGAAACCTGGATGTGAGAGAGACTCATCCATGTCCCCACGAGTCTTTGCTCAAGACTGGCCCGCAGCCCAAACCCAGGCAGCAAATCTGCCTGGCGTGTAACACATCTGGTTCCACCCTGAGCTTCCACCCTTAGAGACTCATTGATTGGTTGACTCCTGCATGCGCCCTGACCAGGGCTCGGGAACTAGCCCACAACCTAGGTATATACCCTTGACCTAGGGATGTATACCTAGGATATATACGGAATCAAACCCATGACCCGACGCTAACCATTGAGCAACGCCAGCCAGGGTTATTTCCCCCTTTTTGTGAGGCAGGATAGCCCGATGGTTTCTGAGGTCAGATCCTGCCCTGCCCCTCATTGGCCCTGTGACCTTGGGGGAGACCCAGGTCTCTCGGAGCCTTGGTTTCCCCGTGAGGTTGTTCGGGGATGTAAAGGAGACAGCATTGATGGAGCTGCTGCCCACCATTGGCCCCCGGGAGTGTTGGCGGTTTCCACTGCGGTCCTCGGCCTTTGCCTGTTATAAAAACCCTTTGTATCCAACGCCTCTGTGGATCGTTCCTCAAGCAACCCTGGGAGGTGCATAGGGTTGTGACCCCCATTTTACAGATGAGGAAACTTGAGGCTCAGAGAGACGAAGTGACTTCTCCAAGTCACCCAGCTTGTTGATGGCCTTGAACTTTCCTGGTTCCTGCCTGTTGCCTCCTCTTGGACGTTCTCATTTGAACCTTGGAAGGAATGCTCCAGCTCCCAGCCATGCACAGCCCGGGTCTGGCCTCCGGGCTGTGGCTGGCATCTCACCAGGCCACGGTCCTGTAGACAGACCTGAGTCTGAGTCACCCCAGCCCCTCGAGCCCCGGACAGGGAGCAATAGGAGCTGCTGGGAAGGGCCCAGAGTGGCATCTGTTGCTGGGGTTACACGCCAGGCTGATTTGCTGCCTGGGCTTGGGTTGCTGGCCCGTCTTGAGAGCAAAGACCCCCGGGCACATCTACCAGGTGTCTGTCCATCTTCAGGACAGACTATGGTGTCCTGTCCACGTTCTCAGGAAAGACCACACCACTGCACTCTTCAGGAACCCTCCATCGCTCCCCCATCACCTTGGGACAAGGCCCGACTCTTTAGCCCCACATCCGGGGCCCTGCCTATTCTGGCTCCATCCTGAGCCACCACCTCCTTCCAGGAAGCGTTCCGCTCCCACGGCCTGGGGCAGAAATCGCAGCGTGGGGCAGCGGGCACGAACACGGGCTTTGGGGCAAGGCCCATGTGACTCCACTGCTTCCTGGCCATGGTAACCTCAGACAGCTGCTCCACCCCTCAGTTTTCCATCCGTAAAGGGAGATCGTGAAGTACCTCATTTACAAATAGCCTCCATGACACGAGATCATGGCTCAAACCATGCCCAGAGCCCACCCCTGGGCGCCAGTCACCAGGTTTTCACTGTTACCCACGCTGCCCCTAAAGTTTCATCCCTCTGAGGGCCCCCCCCCCCCCCCCCCCCGTGCTGCCGTTCCCTCTGGGCGGTGCACCCTTCCCCTCTTCTCCAGCTCACACCCACCTCCTCTGAGTGCCTTTGCTCATTCCCTGGTCAAAGCTGATCCCTTCTCCCTCAAGGTTCCCCAGCTCCCAGTCCGGGCCAGCCTCCGCACGCCGCCTCTCCCGGCAGGAAGTTCACATGGTGGGCACTCGTGTGGAAACTCCTGCAGGGAGAGGCCTGCTGACCCGTTTCTCCGGATCCACACAAAAGAAAGAAAAACAAAAGGAAAAAAAAAAAATTTAAAAATGGGCAAGGAGATTAACATAGTTCGCTCATTCATTTATTCATTCATTCATTCCAACAGGAATCTATTGGTGCCTCTTTCAGCCAGGCCCAGCACAGGGCCTGGCACGCATTCGGTGCCATCGACGTTCATTGAAGGACCATGATCGGGTTCCCTAACCCAGTAGAATTCAGGGACAGCTGCCAGGACAAAGGCGCCTGTGAGCTAAGCTTTGGAAGAGAACTTGGCCCGGTTAACCAAGCTGGAAGGGCCAGGCATTCCAGGGAGAAAAGTCTGGAATGGTCAAGTCACCAAAGCCCGAGGAGACAGAGAGCTTTCAGCGAGCAGAAGGAAAGTCAGGAAGCCTGGGCCCCAGGGGCCTGGGAACGCGCAGCTGCAAGGCAGTTAGCCTGCCAGGCAGGCAGCGTCGTCGAGATGCTGGGATTTTATCCCGATGACAGGGGGGCTCTGAAGGCATTGAGCTCATTTAAGACATGATCCGACATGGGCTTTGGAAACATCGCCAGCTGCTGTGCGGTGGGCCCATGCGTGTACTGTGTGCCAGAGCCCGTCCTCGGTGTGGGGGTAGATACAGTGGTGAGCGAGTCGGACACAGAGCCCCCCCCCCCCCCCGCTGTGCCCCCCGGTGAGGGCCCGGGAGACATCCCATCAGCAGAATGCTACTTCATTCTCACACAGCCCACTTTCCATGGGGGGGAAACTGAGGCCCAGAGGGGAGCACAGGTTTGCCTGCATTCACACACTAGAGAGTGTCAGAGCCAAGATTCTCACCTGGACAGTCTGTGCCCTACTTCCCACCTGTCCTTCCCTTTTTCCCTTCCCGTCCTCACACAGGCAGAGAATAAAACACATACAAAAGGCCCCGGTGCTTTTGTTTATCTTGTGTTTGTTTTTCTAAGGCTATAGCAGTGGCATCTTAAAAATAGCACAGATAGCCAAAACCGGTTTGGCTCAGTGGATAGAGCATCAGCCTGCAGACTGAAGAGTCCCGGGTTCGATTCCGGTTGCGGGCACATTCCCCAGTGGGGAGTGTGCAGGAGGCAGCTGATCGATGTTTCTCTCTCATCGATGTTTCTAACTATCACTCTCTCTTCCTATCTGTAAAAAATCAATAATATATATATATATATATATATATATATATATATATATATATTTTTTTTTTTTTTTTAAATAGCACAGATATGGGAATGAGACAGATGTGGGTTCAAATCCTCGCCCTGCCTGTGTGCCCTGGTACAGATTCTTCACCTCTCTGACCTCAGTTTCCTCATCTGTAAAATGGGGTTAATGATGTATACCTCCACCCAGGTTGTCATAAACCTGAAAAGATATTTAGAGGGCTCAGCTCAATGCCGAGCACACAATAGGTGCTTAATGAAAGTTCTTGCTTGCCTCTTTACACTGTCTTTAGTGCAGACAAAGCGTGTCTGAGGCCGTAGAGAAGTATGTCCCAGGAGAGGTCAGACAGAGCTGATCGGGGGTGGACCAGGGAGCAGAGGGCAACCCACCACCCCAGCCTGAACCGGGGGGCGGAGGTGGTGGTTGTGCTGCCTCCAGGGCCCCGCACAGACACCCTGCTGTTGGGCCCAACGCTAACGACTTCAGCGTGTCTCCCCTTTTAGCTCAAATATTTCTGAAATGCACGCTGCTCGTTCACACATCGCCGGAGGGGCCTGGGGCCTCCCCGGCTGTGCAATCAGGGCCTCCTGATTGCTTTCTTCTGTGCAGGCTCAGGAAGGAGAGGGGGTGTGGGTGCATGGCGCCCGGGCCAAAGCTGCTCCCATGGCCCGAACCCTGCTTCCCGCCGAGGAGCGGGTCTGAGCCGGCGGCTCAGATGCTGAGAATCTGTGCGCACGGCCTCGGCTTTCTCGTGTGTCCCTTGCAGCGTCCAAGGCTTGGAAACTGGACTTTCCACAGGGCTAGCCAAGGCGGGCGTGTCCGGAGGCCAGTGAAAGGGCAGTGGTGGGGGGAGGGGGAGAGTGGAGAGGAGAGTGGGTGGGACTAGTGAGGCTGGCAAGAATGTGGGTGGGAGACATAGTCCCACAAGGAGGCCTCGGAGAGCCCCTGACCCTTACTGGGCAGCCCAGCTCCACCTCCAGGCCTCACCAGGCCCTGCCTCGCCCTTCCCACAAGCCAGGCTACGCTCACCTTACCTTTCCCTCTCAGCCTTTCTGACTTTATTTATTTATTTATTTGTTTATTTAATCCTCACCTGAGGGTATGCTTTTGTTAAATTTTAGAGAGAATGGAAGGGAAAGAGAGAGAAAGAAAGAAACATTGATTGGTCGCCTCCCATATGCACCCCAACCAGGGATCAAACCCACAACCTAGGTATGTGCCCTGAGCCCTGACTGGGAATTGAACCTGCGATCTTCGGTGTATGGATTGATACTGCAATCAGCTGAGCTACCCTGCCAGGGCCTGACTTCCTGTTAACTCGGTCTTCAAGCCTCCATTCAGTCCCTTCCTCCAGGAAGCTGTCCCTACACGGGGCATTTTCCTCCTCGCTTCCCACTCCCGGATCCTTTAACCCACAGAGCACGGGGCACGTCCACTGTGCAGTCTTTGTCACACCGTGCGGTGACTCATCAGAAACATCGCTAGCTGAGGCACAGGGCGGGGGGTGGGGAGGAGACTTCCTAAGGATCACACAGGGACCTGCCTCCTGCCCGGAAAACTTCTAGACACTTAGTTTGGGGTCTGGGGGAGTTAAAGGGAGGAGAGTGGGGGCACGCATGCAGCTTCCCTTGCACGAGGGATTGGCATTGTCACCGTGGGGATGGGGATACGGTCGGGGACATGTCCAGCACTTCAGAGACGGTTTTGGAAGTGAAATGATGGTAGGTGGTGTACTAACTAGTCCAGGCATTTTTAATTGTAATAATCTTGTATTTACGTTCCTTCGTGTGGCAAGTGATGTTGACGTTCCCCTTATGAAAATGATTACTTTTTCCTCTTTAAAATGCATTTAAGAAAAAAGCCAACCGGAAGAAACACAGTAACTGAATAAATACAGGTGGTAGGTGGAAATGGCTGAAGTCATGAATGTTGTCCTGATGGAGCAGAACACTAGCATGTGTTCAATTCCTACAGTTTTGAGGGTGGAGGATGGGGAGTTTCCTACATAATAGAGGAAGACCTACTGTGTGCGAGGTTCTGTGCTGGGGACCCCAGAACCAGAGCCTTAGTACCCACCATTGGAAGAACCTGGCAAACAGGGGTGGTTCCAGTTCAGGACCTGCAAATGCTGGGACAGAGGTATGGTTGGGGCGGACTCAGGAGGACTCCCCAGACGAGGTTCCCTGAGGGGAGACTTCGGGGATGAGGAGAATTAGAGTGGGCAGAGACAGTGTGGGGAGGAGATCCGAGGAAACGGTATGTGTGAGGTCTGAGGTACTGGCGTCTGAGAGTGCACTGCCCGCTCTGTGCAGCTGGAGCGTAGCTCATGAATGGATAGATGTGTGTGGTCTCTTGGGTGAGTCCTGAGCCTTTGGATGCCTCTGTTTTTCCATCTGTGAAATGGGACAGGATCAGCACTCCCTCGGCATGGTGGTGAGAATGCTGGTGAGGGCTGCTGGCTCCTCAGAATCTTCAGACAGGAGTTGTCTCTCTTTGTGGATTTTTGGGATCAGAGGAGCGGATGTTTGGGGGGGCGGGGGGGGGGGGGGGGAGAAGGGATGCTGGTGAAATCGGGCTTGGCTTCCTGAACCCACCCAGCTTCCTGGGGCCAGGACTCCTGATGCCTTTCCCTGGGGGAGTGAGTTTGACTTCTGGGCTGGGTTTGAGAGGAGCGAAGGGAGCTCACGGCGTCCAGGAAAGCAGCATCGGACAGACCGGGGCGGGCTCCCGGAGGCCGTGCCCATCAGACAGGCTGATGTTTGTCAGATGTTGGCAAGCACAGTCTCGGGGTGGGAGGTTGGGGAGCTCTGGGGGAGAGGCTTTGTGCTGGGCTCCAGGCTAATCCACTCCCCTTAGCGCTCAGTCCTCTCGGCCACACTCAGGAGGGACCATGCTGGTCTCCAGGTGAGGAAACCGAGGCTTAGAAAGGCTACAGGCCTGAGGTTGCCAAGCAAGCAGGTGGCAGAGCAGGGTCATTAGGATTGAAGTCTCGACCTCCCATCCCCTTTTCCAGAGGGTGGAGGGACGTGTCAACATTGAAAAGCAAAAGGCCCAGCAGGATCGGGGGCGCGGTTCGGGGGAGCTAACCATGCCCCTCCTGCCACAGCCCCGAGGGAGCAGCTTTCAGAGATTGGCTTCCAGGCAAAGCCCAGAACTGGGGTGGGGAGAAGGGAGAACAGGCGGTTCCTGCCTTTTGCGAACTTCCCACTCCCTCTTAGACCATTCCTGTCCGTGAACCCAGCTGCCCTTGACCTCCAGTCCTTCTGAGATCCTCCCCAGGCTGGTCCAGACGTGGGAGGCAGAGGGGGTAGCGGGCACCCCGGCCGGAGCTCCCTGGGAGTCCAGGGGTTGAGCGCCAGCCTTTGGTGTCCGCCTTTGGTAAGCTGCTCGCCCTCCCTGGGCCCACATGTCCACGGTACAATGAAGATGCCAGCCCACAGTCCCTCCTCTGGGCTGTGGAATCTTCTAGGGCTTGGCCTCCGGGTCAGCCCAGGAATGCAGGGCTGGGGCCCCATGCTGGGCGGGCTTGCACCCCAACCCCTTCCTCATCCCCAGCAGCCTCTCCTCGCCCCGTGTGACACAGCTCCTCACAGCTGTTCCTCCGGCCCAGGCAGGGAGCCCGGCTTGGCGCGTCCCTGGCTGAGGCCGACGAGAGAAAACAGGTTAAAAGTTCAGCCCTTGTTCTCTCCAGGAAGAAAAAATCTGTAGCACTCGGAGTGTGAAAAGGAACCCCCCCCCCTTTTTTTTTCAGCTCCAAAGCAGCACAATAGAATTACCTCCAATTTGCCATCAAAAGATGCCCTTGGCACTGGGATCCCACTGTCCCTGGCGCGCGCGCGCACACACACACACACACACACACACACACACACACCCCTTCTCCATCGCCAGCCCCCAGGGGACACAGTGGCCAGAAACACAAGCCACGGGTGGCCATGGGGTCACTGCTGCACCCTCCCTGACTGGGGCCACCTCTAGCTAAGTGCTTCCTCCGTTTCCCACCTTCCATCCCCAGTGTCCCAGCCCTAGTTCAAGACCTCGTCACTCCCATTTCGACCTTCAGAGCAGCCTGGACACTGAGCACCCTGCCCCCACTGTCCTCCCTCCCAATCCCCCTCAAACGAAGTGTCTAGAAGTTGACCGCATAGGAGGCAGGTCCTTGTGCAATCCTTACGAAGTCTCTCCCCGCTTCTTTGTGCCTCCGTTGCCCTATATGTAAAGCGAGGCGGTTGGGCTGCACCAGGGATAGGCTCTGACGAGGCGGGGGTCAGTTTCTGGTGCACCGTGGTGGGACGCATCGAGCCGCCGCGGTGCGTGGCGATGGATTGGTGATGTCTGCCTCGGGCACCTAGGGGAGCGTGGCCACTGACGTGCCTCTCACCCCCTCCCTGAGCGAGGTGGCGGGAAAGATCCGGCTGTGACTTTCCAGGTCTCTCTCTAGGTCTCTGCACCGACGCCCTCATAGCTGGGTGTCTTCAGACCTCACTTCCTATCAGACTGTGATCTGTTCCACTGTAGGGTCTTCCTATTGGTTGTTTCCTCTTCAGGGCACCAGCCCAGGGCCTGGTGCAGGACAGTCATCTGGTGTGTTCGTTGAATGAATGCTTGAAAGGGGCCGGTTGAAACCTGTTCAGTGCATTGGGTGGGTGGTGACCGCTCGCTCTCCCCACAGAGACGCTGATGGATTCCACCACGGCGACGGCGGAGCTCGGCTGGATCGTGCATCCTCCTTCAGGGGTGAGTCCGCGGTCCCCCAAACCCTGCCTGGTCCCGCAGGACACCTTGGGTTTTGCGGCAGGGCCTGGATGCCCCCTCACACTCCAGCCCCTTTCCCTCCTTTAGAGCCTGAGGCCAAGCCTTTCATTGCCCCACCCACCGGGATCTCTATCATGGGTGGAGGCCCCGTTACCATGACAACGTCCTGGATGCATTGCACTGTCCCATGGAGTCCTCGGGGGGGAAAGCTCAGAAGTAGGTATTTGCACTGCCCCCTTTTCCAGACGAGGAGAGTGGCCTGTCGTTACGTCAGCACCCAGAGTAGGTCAGATCCTGTGTCCAGCACCTTTTCACACACCCTCTCCACTCCCTGGGGAAGGAACGAGCTTCATTGGACAGGTGAGGAGACCGAGGCTCAGAGCGTCCTAGCCACTTGACAGGGGCCCTGAGGCTAGTAAGGGGCAGGGCTCAGGTTTATATCGAATCCTCTGGGCCCTCTCTGGGTCCCTATAACACAAGGCCCCCCTCCCTGAGCTCTTCGCACCTTGCATTTGCTGGTCTGAGCCCAGGTGGTCTGCGGGCTCCCCTGGGGCAAGATCAGGCACGATTCCAGATCCCGCTTTCTCCCCGCCCCAACCAGCCTAGCACTTGCATCCAGGCTGTGGGGTAATTCTCTCCCAACTCTGCCCCTCACCACTGGCTGGTTGGGGGCCAGTGCTGTGACCTCTCTGAACTCAGGTGTCCTCGTCTCTCACTCGGGGATAAGAATGCCTTCCTCAGGGGACTCTTGTGAGCTTTTCCTGCAGAGAAGCTGGCACAGGGCTGGGCGTGGAGTGGGCTCCCAAAAGCGAGGAGCTAGAATAAATATCCCCTTCGTCATTGTATCCCCTTCATCATCCTCCTCATCCCTCTGGCCTCCGGGGAAGGTTCTGGGCTTCCACAGCCCATCCCTTCCCTTCCCCCACCCCAGCTTCTGTGCTGGGACTCAGCTGCTGCCCATGGAGCTGCATATCCCATCCCTGCCTCTCCCCCACCCACCCCCGCCACCTCCCCCCTGAAGGCCCGCGCTCTCAATAGGCAGGGCCCCGGGTCAGGCTTCTTTCTGTGGCTCTTTCTTGTCGCCAGTTTTCCATCTGCGGAGCGGCAGGGCCCACGGCCCCACCCTGCCGGTAATGAGGCCAGGCTGGGCTGCAGGGCCCCCGGACGCAATTATTTGGGGTGTTTAGGCTGCAGGGCCTCCGCATGTTAATTAGAGAGAGGGGAGAAAGGCAGAGTGCTCTAATTAAGTGCTCTAATTAAGTTCTGAAGAAGAGCAGTGGTTGTAACAAGGGGCTGACTTTGTCACATGGTGCCACCAAAAAGGAAAAAAATAAATAAATAAATAAATTAAACACAATATAAGGAGCGTCAGAGCCGCTGCGGAAGGAGAGGCTGGGCCAGCAGGCTTCAGCTCGGCCTTCCCTGCACACACTCACCCTCCCCAGCATCGGCCCTCCCCAGGCCAGCTGCTACCTCCGCGCCCTGTGCAGACCTGGCCCAGAGCATCACAGGGAGACAGACAAAGGACACCCATCGAATGCGACAATCTTCCCACCCCCCATAGTCCTATCGGGCAGTTGGGGGAATAGAGGCCCAGAGAGAGAAAGTGACTGCACATCCGGTTGGCAGAGCGAGGCAGCATGGGCAAGCCAGTGAATGGGTCTGGGTCTGGGTGACCTGGGTCAGGGGACCTCCCTTCTCTGGCCTCTACTCCCTCATCTGTAAAATGGGGGTGACCACACGCACCACGTGTGAGAAACATGACAAAGGAACGAAACCCTGTCAGCACCCAGCTCCTGGGCCGATGGGGTGGGTTCCGTGATGGGCAAACTGCGGCTCTCGAGCCACATGTGGCTCTTTGGCTCCTTGAGTGTGGCTCTTCCACAAAATGCCACGGCCTGGGCGAGTCTGTTTGTGAAGAAGTGGTGTTAGAAGAAGTTTAAGTTTAAAAAATGTGGCTCTCCAAAGAAATGTCCATCATTGTACTGTTGCTATTTGGCTCTGTGGACGAATGAGTTTGCCGACCATTAGGCTGGATGAGGGTATTCTGCTTGTGGGGTTCTTTGGGGGTTACCCTTTCGGGTGTCTGCCAGGTAAGGCCAGCCCACCACCAAGGGGACACCAGAGAAGGAGGGGAACGGTAGCTGCCCTCAGCACGCTCTCAGGCTCGTGGAGGGGACCAGACCAAGAGGCGGAGGGCGCCCAGCACTTGCCCAGGCAGGTGGCCCCCCGAGAATGCAGACACTGCAGCCAGACCGAGAGCCTGCTGCAAGAGGTCCCAGGAGGATGGAGAGAAGATGAGAGGGGGGGCAAGGAGGGCACAAACGTGTGCGCCAAGGCTCAGCAGTGCAAGGGGCGGGGCCTTGGAGGGTCTGGGAGGAGAGAGTATGGGTCCCGGGCCCACGCAGTTCCAACGCTCCGTGGCCCAATTCCGACGGCCTCTCCAGCAGGGAGGCCGGGAGCGCTCCGCTCTCCGCTGGTGTGAGAGCCCAGACCTGGCCCGGTGGGTTGCTGAAGCACCTGCCCCGGGCAGCACAGGCGGGAGGTCTCCCTCCAGGCACCATCTGAGCCTCTTATCGACCAGAACAGGGTAGGGTCCTGTCTTCCCAGTCACAGGGGTAAGGGCTCTTCTTCCCTCGGACAGACTGTGCCTCCCTGGTCAGGCAGGGAATTCCCAACAGGCAGAACGGTCTCCTTGTCAGACTGGTGGCTCCCCGAGCACGCAGCTCTGTCCGCCTCTACCATATTGACTAGGGCAGCGGTCAGCAAACTCAATCGTCCACAGAGCCAATTAGCAACAGGACAACGATTGACATTTCTTTGGAGAGCCACGTTTTTTAAACTTAAACTTCTTCTCACGCCACTTCTTCAAAATAGACTCACCCAGGCCGTGGTATTTTTGTGGAAGAGCCACACGCAAGGGGCCAAAGAGCCGCATGTGGCTCGAGAGCTGCAGTTTGCTGACCACGGGACTAGGGGATACCAAGAGCAGAGTATGCGCCCTGCCCGTCAGAGAGCCCTGCCTCCCTCATAGACTGAAGAATTCCCCAGGCCAAGGCCAAGTCTCCCCCTCCCTTAGGGAGTTCTGTGATGGGAGGAGTCCTGAATCCATCGTCAAAGTGGAAGACGCCTAAGGTAGAGTCTGTGCCTCCCCCATCAGAGTAGGAGGCCCCTGCTTCTAGGAGACCTGTCTATTCCCCTTCAGACTGGAGGGTTCCCTAAGGTGGGGGGGGGGGGTGTCTTTTCTCTTTGGGTGCTCCTCGGGCTCAGCCCCTCCCTCCCCCACCTGACGAGCGTGTCCCCCCTCCCCTCCCCCACAGTGGGAAGAGGTGAGCGGCTACGACGAGAACATGAACACGATCCGCACCTACCAGGTCTGCAATGTGTTCGAGTCGAGCCAGAACAACTGGCTGCGGACCAAGTTCATCCGGCGCCGCGGCGCCCACCGCATCCACGTGGAAATGAAGTTCTCGGTGCGGGACTGCAGCAGCATTCCCAGCGTGCCCGGCTCCTGCAAGGAGACCTTCAACCTCTACTACTACGAGGCCGACTTCGACTCGGCCACCAAGACCTTCCCCAACTGGATGGAGAACCCGTGGGTGAAGGTGGACACCATCGCGGCCGACGAGAGCTTCTCGCAGGTGGACCTGGGCGGCCGCGTCATGAAGATCAACACGGAGGTGAGGAGCTTCGGGCCCGTGTCCCGCAGCGGCTTCTACCTGGCCTTCCAGGACTACGGCGGCTGCATGTCCCTCATCGCCGTGCGCGTCTTCTACCGCAAGTGCCCCCGCGTCATCCAGAACGGCGCCGTCTTCCAGGAGACGCTGTCGGGGGCCGAGAGCACCTCGCTGGTGGCCGCCCGCGGCAGCTGCATCGCCAACGCCGAGGAGGTGGACGTGCCCATCAAGCTCTACTGTAACGGGGACGGCGAGTGGCTGGTGCCCATCGGGCGCTGCATGTGCAAAGCGGGCTTCGAGGCCGTGGAGAACGGCACCATCTGCCGAGGTAAGGGCCGCGGTGGGACGGGCGCCCCTGTGTGGAGTGGCTACCGGGCCTGGCCGCGGGGAGGTCAGGCTGGCAAGGGCAGTGACCTGGAGCTGACCAACCGGGAGGCACTCTGGCGAGGCTTTCCCGATCTACATCCGTGGTTTGGCTTCTCAGAGGCGTTTGAACGGCATTTTTTAAAAAAAATATATTTTTAGATTTGAGAGAGGAGAGAGGGAAAGAGAGATAGTAACATCAGTTATGAGAGAGAATCACTGGTCGTCCGCCTCCTGCATGCCGCACACTGGGTATTGAGCGTGCAACCTGGGGGCATGTGCCCTGACTGGGAATGGAACCATGGCCTCCTGGTTCATAGGTTGATGCTCAGCCACTGAGTCACGCCGACAGGGCTAAATGGCATTTCTTGATGGTGGTACGTGTATGAACTATGCGGGGTTCGGGTGGGAGGAGGTGCTGCAAGACGATTTTAGTCACACGAGGTTGTTTCTCATTTTAATAATTATACGGATCTTATCTGATGCTAAGTGGTGCTCTATTTCTTCATGAACAGAAGTGATGTAGTTTCCTTCTGAAGAAAATGTATAGGTCATCACATTTAAAAGTCAACATTTGTTGAGCTTCTTTTGTATAAGCCAGGCTATGCTGAAATGACAAAACAATAGAAACTTACTTCTCCCTCACCATCCCATGCCCATCGGGGTTCAGCTTGGGATTCCTCCCTCTGGGAACCAACCAGATGGAGGAGCCTCCGTTTGGGGTGTCACGATCACCAGGGCAGAAGGAGCGAGTGGTTCACAGGCTTCAGCCCGAAATGACTCCACATCACTCTGTGCCACAACGCAAGTCACGTGGTTCCTTCCAATGTAAAGTGATGGGGAAGTACGATCCCACTGTGGACCAGCCTCCTGACCACCGCTTTTACTGTGTGCTGGCCACCCGACATGTCTCACTCATTTAATCCTCGTAAGAACCCTGTGAGGGAAAGTGCCTTTTTATTTAATAAATTGAGGCAGAGAGCCTTACTCTCATATACACTGAGTGGCCAGATTATTATGATCTCTAAACGCATAATAATCTGGCCACTCGGTGTATATCCTATATAATAAAAAGCTAATATGCAAATTGTCCCCTCGACCAGGAGTTTGCCCAGCAGGCAGGCTGGCCAACTGCCCATGTCCCCTCCCCCTGGCCAGGCTGGCCAGACCCCACCCATGCATGAATTCATGCACCAAGCCGCTAATACACACACACACACACACACACACACACACACACACACTGAGTGGCCAGATTTTTATACATTCAAAGATCATAATAATCTGGCCACTCAGTGTAGAGAGTGGAGGAGCCAGGAGTCTTACACCCAGGTAGTGGGATTCCAAACTCCCCTTCCAAACAGCTCTGGGTGTCTATGCTCTGAGTGTTTATATTTTGCTGCTTAAGTTAGTTCAAGGGGAAACATTAAATAAACAATAGTACAGGTGGTGTTTGACTGTGGCACAGTTTACGGCTTTCCTAGGTTGTAAACATAGGGGTTTGTGAGGTCCTGCATGGTGGTGGTAAGAAGGCTGTGAAGGTGGACAGACTTGGGTACCAAGCCCAGCCCTGGCAGTTATGAGCTGTTTGTCCTGGGCCAAGTGTGAAAGCCTCTTTCCTATGGGGCTTGTGAGGATACAGCAACTTAAGACCTAGAAAGCATTTATTATGGCTCCTAGTACACAGAGCTTAATAAATGCTAACTAACAGATGATGTATACAAAGCGCAGCCTTCATCAAACCTTCCTTGCACCTGCTCTGTGTCGGATCTTGTGCTCTGCATCAGGTAAACAGAGTAGAATCTGGTGCACGTACTCTGCCACATGAGCTGTGATGGTGCTGGTGCTGGTATAGGAGATTTAAAGTTTATTTGTGCCTTGAATCGGACCCTGAGGTGCTCCAAATGCCAGACTTGAGTTTGGACCTTATTCCAGAGGCCCTAAAAGGCCAGTGAAAGTGTACCCTGGAGTGGTTGCAATGATTTTTACCTCCATAAAATTCGGTCACCTCCACCATGCCCATAGTCCCTCCACTCCTGCCTTCTGGGCATTTTAAGGGTCCCTGGGAGGATAAATGGAAATACAAGAGACAGGAACAGTGGCCTGAGAGGAAGCTGCTGCAGCGAACGCATCCACAGTGCTGGAAAGAGGAGCAGGGGCGTCAAGAGATGTTTGACAGTGAATTGGATGAGATGCAGACACAGGCAGGAAAGGGAGGAGGGAGAGGCATCAAAGGGAGCAGGGAATTCCAGCTTGCAGGGAGGTGATGGTCCTGGAACAGACGTGGGGAAGTTGGGAGAAAGGCCAGTTTCTTGGGGGCAGATAACAGATCTGGGTGTCTATATCTGAATGTGAAGTTGTGCAGCCTTAGGTGATGGCAGGACCTGGGGGATAGAATCAGTCACACATTGCTTATTGTTTATTCACTCACCAGACCTTCCTTGCACCTGCTCTGTGTCAGACCTTGTGCTAAGCATCAGGTAAGACAGAGAAGAATCTGTCTGGGCCCTGTCTTCCAGGACCTCACAATTGAGACAGACTGTCTCTATACATAAAAGCCTAAGCGACCGGCCGACCAGCCCACTGGCTGGTAGCTGTGACGTGCACTGACCACCAGGGGGCAAATGCCCAATGCAAGAGTGGAAACCACAGGCATGGAAACATGGAGCAGACTGATGAATCTCAGAGGGAAGAGGGGAGGAGAGAGGGTGGGAAAAGATTAACCAAAGATCTTATATGCATACTAGAGGTATGCGGGGTCCCTTGGCCTGGCCTGTGGGGATCGGGCCAAAACTCGCTCTCCGACATCCCCCGAGGGGGTCCCTGATTGCGAGAGGGTGCAGGCCTAGGGACCCCCCACACACACACCAGTGCACAAATCTGTGCACCGGGCCTCTGGTAAGTGAATAAGGGAGGCAGGGCATTGGACGTGCTTTAATAGGAACTGCTCAGGCTGCGATGGGCATAAAAAATGAGGGAAGGCTTCACAGAGGAGGTGACACTGACACTGGGAATCTTGGGAGAGAGATATGCTGCCTGGGTGGCCCAGGCCATCGGAGGGTGGATCTACATGACAAAAGACCTGGGGATGTGAATCAGCATGGCCCCTTAGGGGGACCAGTACACTGTTTGCTGTGGCTGAGGCCAAGGACTTCAGGAAGGGTGTAGGACTTCAAGAAGGATGCCTAGAGGGGAGGTGTACTAGTTATCTATTGCTGCATAACAAGTTACCCCCCAAATTTAGCAGCTTAAAACAATAAATATTTACTATCTCACCGTTTCTAAAGGTCAGAAATCCAGTTGTGACTTGGTTGGGGCCCTGTGGCTCAGTTGCTCCTGAGGTTGCAATCAGGCTGTGGGCTGGAGGCTGCAGGTTTATCTGAAGGCTGGACTGGGGAAGGGTCGGCTTCCATTTCACTCACGCGGCTGTTTGTCAGCTTCAGTTCGTCACCACACAGTCCTTGCACATGTGCCGTGGCTTACCCCAGAACGGGATCCCAGAGAGCCTGAGAGGGTACCTAGGAGAAACGCCACAGTCTTTTCATCAACCTCATCTTAAAAGTGACATTACTTCTGCCATAGTCATTTCATTAGAAGTGAGACACCAAATTCAGCTCACATTCCAGGGGACTGAATTACACTGGGCATGAATGACAGGAGGTGGGGTCATTGGGAGCCATCCTAGAGGTTTGCCTGTCACAGGCAGCTTCTCTGAATCCAGACTTCTTGCAAGGAGTGAGGATTCAGGTGTGCACCCAGACCTGGCTCCTTTATATTCCGCTCCTCCTCCTGGATCTACAGCCCACCCAAGGCCCAGGCCCAGGCCCAGGCCCAGCCAGCCTCTGGGTGTGAGCCGAGACTAGTCAGGGTGTGATTAATGAGCTCAGGGATCCAGGAGGACACCAGCTGCGGCGGTGGCCTGTGCTGCAGCCACCCAGATGTGGGGCCGCTCCCACCCAAGTCCCGCAGGCACGGGCCCCGATGGCCCCTTGTGTAGGAATGGCGATTACAGCTCACATCCGAGATCTTAGCAACGTGCTGTCTCATCGTCTGGCTTAGGGATTCTCAGCCTTTGCTGCGCCTCCGAATTCATTAGGAAGTTGGTTAAAGCACACATTCCCGGGTCTGGTGCAAACCTCTCCCCCAGGTCTGGTTCCGTGGCTCTGAGGTGGGGCCACAAATCAGCATTTTAAAACAAGCAGCTCGGACGCCTCTGTGACAGGCCCGTTAGCTCGGACACACGATGTGGTAACGCATCTTTGCCAGATGATGGCCACAGTCCCAGTCCCTCCACCACCCCCCCCCCCCCAGGGAGCGTCCACCCTGAGGGATGAGAGGGGACACTAGCCGAATGTCTACGAGGGAAAGGGTGGTGATTTAATGTTTCATATTGAATCATAACTTGATGGGGAAAATCCATTTAACATTGAAACATAATTCGATAGGAAAAATCCATTGCTTTGTTAATACGAGTGAGAGGAAATAAGGCTGGATAAAGTCTTCCTGGCAGAGGGGGATAGGTGTCCTAGTGGGGAGGGGCCAGAGGTAGGCATTGGTGGCTGGTGAAGGGTGGGAGGTCCCAGTGGGCGGAGTGGTTTACAGAACTAACTGAGTCCATCGGCCCAGCATCCTCTGTGCCTCCTGTGTGCAGGGCACAATGAGGACAGGGGCCTGGAGAAGCCAATCACCATTCAACAGGCATGTACTGTGTACCCTCCGTGTACCACTCAGCCCTCTCACAGACACTTCCCGAGGGCCTCCCGGGAGCGAGGCACATGCCCGTGCTGAGAAGTACAGATGTGAACAAGACCCAGGCATTCGTTGCCCTCCCGAAGTTTTCACGCTGAGTGGGCATAGAAAGGGAAGGTGGTGAGGGGAAAAGCTAATGAACACATTGAACACAGACTGTAATGCATGAAAGGGAGAAAACATGGGGTGCAACAACAGAGATGGAAAGGAAGATCC